GAAGAGCGAGGGCCGATTGACCGAAGCGGGTCTCTCTGGAAAATTGATAACTTCATTTTGACAAATTGATGAATTCTCGAGCAGACGGCCCGATGGGATTCTCTAGGTCCGTCGGGATTTTTGATCTTGCCGGCATGAAAAGCGTGCGAAAGGATCGCACGCGGCAGAGACAGACAGAGGGAGAGGGAGACGGTGGTGGTTGGATCGGGAGATCGAATTAGCGCGTGGTTAGCCGCATTTGGCCGAATTTGGTTCGCTAATATTAGCAGAAGCTGATGCTCAACGGTGAATTCTCCAAAATATTGGTATTTCAAGGTAATCGAATATAGGTCGAAATTTGACTCGGAATAAATAGCGCTTCTTGAATCTGATTAAGATACAACGTCAACTTCGAGAGCTTTCCTTGATATCGGCTTCACATGTATCGATTGATGTATAGTAAGCAAGAGAGAGAAGGAGGGGCGGAGGAAGAGAGAAAAATCACGCGCTCTAATTTAGGCTATACTTAAAAGTCGCCGCACAAAAGTGAGAATAACGTCGCTCAGGTACTCAGCGCATCTCGTCTACGATGCATTTTTAAAACTTCATTGTGCGAAGTCTGACGGACGTTTTAATCAGGAATGTTCAAAGTAAAACCGGAATTTCTTTGGGCGTCGGTAATTAGCTAATGGGACGAGATTAAGCACCTTCTTAACTCGGGTTAGAGTTAATACTTTTAAGCATTCGCTTCACGCGCAAGTAAATTGCTGATTCGTGTGAGTGGCGCTCGTTCGCGCATGCGTGTGATTACTCGTGAAACATTTTCGTATACAATTTGAAGCAAGAGTTAAATGGAAATAGATACGATATGATTATTTTAAAATCTTGAACGGAAAAGAAATATAAAGATGGCCAAACGGAACTTTCGTATGTCTTTTTCTCTTCTTAGACGCTTTTTACGTAATCAAATAAACCAGTCGATTACTTTCTACCATCCAGTTTAATTTCGCGAAGCTCAGCTGATTATATCTTTTTTTTCGAATGGAAGAACGAGGTATTATGTTTTTTTGACGTTTTCTTGAACGAATCAGGTTATAATAAATATATATATACTTTCTTCTCCGTGCAAACTGTATCACCGTAATAATATTAACCTGTTTCTTTCCGTCGCTTCATGCACGTATAACATACAACGTTCAACTCCGCGAAGAGAATATATTTCACCATTTTATGCGCGTACAATATAATTATTCATCCCAATTTTCTGCTTATATTTCATTAGAGCTGTAATTAATGTGATTGCAGGAATTTTAAAAAATATCGTTCATCAGTTACAACGCCTGTAACTATTACTCTTTTCGTCCATCGCGCAACGTGTGAAATCCCTACATTTTTCCAGCAACGTTAATTCTCAAAAATATCATTTGTCAGTCGCCACGTATTCCGCCACCGTTTCTTTTCTTACATCTATCGGAGAAGAGGAAACCTGAACGGAGAAAATACCATTTGAGATACCATTTGATTAAATATGGTTACCATAACGAAACATTAATGTTATTTCTCGCCTATTCATGCGGAAGGATTGTAGAAACCCTTTTGTACTCTGGAGGTGGTACACTGGTACTTTGTTGCATGCCTGTTTGAGAGGAACTCTCAATGTTGCATTTGACGCAACTAAACCCTACGAATCTCTCAACCATAGTTTTGCATTCATTCTGCAAACCACAATAGAGAAAGAGAGAGAGAGAACGAGAGAAAGAAAGCAATATTTCGATTAAAGCAATTATGTATGAGGATACATTAATTGAACGTTATGTATATGTTATGTGTCATAGTAACTATGTGTGTGTAAACTTTACAAACGGGCATATAACAATAGTAATTTTTAATGCAATATATATATATTTATTTATTTATTTAACTTTTTTTAATTCACATAAATTTATTTATTTATTTAACTTTATTTAATTCACATAAAGGACCCTGCACAAAACCTATGGAAAATGGTTTTCGGTCAAATTGGCTGAAATTTCACTATGTTATAGTTTTCGCCATGCTGGTAAAAAGTTATCATTGCACCAAGTTCCAAAAGTCAATATTTCCCAAGATATAAAGGATCAAAGTAGTGAAATATGGTCATCCGCAGTAGTAAGACGTATGTTATAAGTATAAGTGATACATTGATATTTATTCATGAAATAAATAAAAATCGATTTTACATATATATATATATATATATATATATATATATATATATATATATGTGTAATAAATATTTAGTTCCGCAATATATATGTATATATATGTATATATGTATATGTATATACAGGGTGGGGCAAAAGTATTGAAACCGGTGAAATATCTCGAAAAATATAAGTTTTACAAAAAACTGTTTCAGATCTTAAAAATATTGCGGAACTAAATATTTATTACATATATATATATATATATATATATATATATATATATATATGTGTAAAAATCGATTTTTATTTATTTCGTGAATAAATATCAATGTATCACTTATACTTATAACATATGTCTTACTACTGCGGATGACCATATTTCACTAGTTTGACCCTTTATATCTTGGGAAATATTGACTTTTGGGACTTGGTGCAATGATAACTTTTTATTAGCATGGCGAAAACTATAACATAGTAAAATTTCAGCCAATTTGACCATTTTCCATAGGTTTTGTGCGGGATCCTTTCTTCTCTGAATATAGAGAATGTCTTGATCAAAATTTAGATTCTTTCAATCTTGATATTCCATCAATTTTGATATCCTGAAGCTGATATCAACCTCCTTTGATTTTGTTCAACCTACCAGTTTTACCTTTTAAGTTCTTTAGAAATTGAATTTTATGCGTTTCTTTGTCACTTAAAGTTATTAAATAGGACTTCAAGTCCTACATATATTAGATATACATCAATCCTTCAGAATATACAGATTCGGAAAAGTTCAGGTCAAGAGAGAGAGAGAGAAATCAGAATTAAAATTTCGACTCGAATGTGATTATAGCAACCATAACAGTTTTCTTCGTGTCATTATTGCAATACATTTGTCGATTGTAACGGAAGAAAATCAAAAAGAAGCTAAAGCGCGACGTCGAACTGAGATGTGATGATTGCTTCTTACACCGCCCGAGTGCGTTCCTACTCATCGATCAGCCTCGACGGGGGTGAGCGGCGCGCGCGAGATGAAGACGTGCTCTATTAACTTTCAGACGACTGCCGATACCTTAAATGAACCAACTCTGAATATACACAAGAAGCAATAGTTCCGAGAGGTTGCTTGCTAGCAGCCTCCGGCGAACCTTGCCCGACCCACTTCCCCGACGACTTAAGGATGTTTGCGCTCGTTCGATGCGCCCGGTATCGCCATAATCCGCGAGCGAGGGTAGACAATTTCGACGGATCAATTTGCGAAGAATAACGAGGGTAACAACCAACGGTATGGCAGTGGGGACGGGAGTTCGCGAAGGAGTAAAGGGACGTAAAAGGTCACGCGACCAGTAAACTCTATACATACTGGAGAGAGATATCGAGGATTGGGGGAGACAAAAGCAGATCTAAAGAATAGATGTATCTAGTTGACATGTTGTCTAAAATTCGCTGATTAATTGGAGGATTATATTATAGTTAAAAACGTTAACCTAAATAAGTATTCCACGTTCGTATGCTTTGCTTTGTATTCTAAACTCTTTTATCTCTAAAAACGGCTTATAAATTTTCTTATTAACTGTAAGCCACTTTTGGAGGCACTTTTAACGATAAAAGAGAGTTCAAAATACGAGCGTATATTTTAATTAGGTTAGTATCAAATGAGACAACTTTGCCTCCAAGGCAAATGTCCTTGTCTGGTGTACTATAATCTGTTTGATTTAACTTCAACCAACGCCCACTTTCTACACTTTTAGAAGAAGAAGAAGTGTAATACGTGCAACTAAGTCGAATAAACCGTATCTGATAGCTGTCTCTAGTATGTATGGAGCTCACTGCACGCGACTCGCGACGCTACGCGCACGTGGAGCGTGTTCGCGCGCCCAGCGAAAGAAATACATCGGGGAACGCGCGCGCCACCACCGGACGTGATCGCAATGTAAAGATTAGACCGAACTTACGGTCTACTTCACGGATAACAGAGAATTCCTGGCGCCGAGATAAATATTAACGTTTTCTCCGCCGGCTCTATTCGCGCGCAGCGACGAAGACCGCGCGCTCCGATGCACGTCGCGCGTGGAGGAGAAAAAGGATGAAGAAGGGAAACAAAAAAAAATATGAGAAAGATTGCGGGGAGAATGTAATACATTCCGCGCGTGCACCGTCTGCCGTGTTTAGTTTGCAAATCGCGGATTTTATTATCAGTCACCGGGACACTTGGGAAGAACATGATGTGTCAACATTGCGACGGCGTAACTTGAAATACCATCGCGTGCTAGATATAATCTGCTCCGCAGCAGCTGAGAAAATGAGGATAATTGCATCCGGCCGAAATGGACTATTTCATCCGATAATACCGTCGGGATGGACGTTAAAATGTCCACTTTAGTATTTCGCGCGACTCATTCGAAATAGTATAGAGTAAAATAGCCAATTATCTCCTTAGACATGGACACTCCAAGAAAGACCTGGTTGATCTTGCGACTAGCATTGCACAGTTAAATTTCTTGCATGCACTCTGTCCTGAGTCGAAATTTTGATGCTTTTGTTGACCTTAATATTCCATTTAATGATAATAATATTATTTTTTTGAGTCGGTTAATAATATATGCAAAAAAATCTCACTTGGTGCAACCGAATAGAAACCAACTGAAAATTAAGTGATCAGAAGCGATATCTCTGTTATGAAAACTAATATTTCTGTTGTCGCAACCGAAAATATTTGTCTGAACATTCAGCGATATTAGAAATAACTTGGTTGAGGCAACTAAGAACAATTGACTATACAGAAATTTCATAAAGGAATTTTTCTGTTCCTACAGACGAGTTTTCGTCTGATCCCTGAGCAACCGAAAATTTGGCTGCACCGGAATTATTTTTTCCGTGTATATGAAAAGAAAAGAATAAATACATGACAAGCAAAAAATGCGTAACAAGTGTGGTAGGTACTGTATCCTAGGCTCAGATATCGTCCGAATCTTGCGACTTACTGGAATAATGACGATTCGTTATCTCGCGAACGCGCACTTCTTCACATCCCACGAACGTACGTTTGGTCCCGTCGCGACGACATCGGTAAACGCGTAACCCTGTAACTGAAACGACGATTTCCGGCTGTGAAATCTCCGGTGTTCCCCGGCAGGATGTTGCTCGGCCGCGCAGACATGTGCTAATTAAAGTACCTTTACAGCTTCACTTCGGCCGGTGCTCCGTTGATGAGCCGCTTATAGCGCGCTACATAGTACACGGGCCAGCAGATGATCGGGGATAACGACCGTCGCCGACGAATATCCGCTCGCAAGACATTCGGGTATTTCCTGCCGAATCATCCATTATTCCCGAGCCCGTTCAGATCGATTAGACTAGGCCACCGGGGACTACTCCCCCGACCGACGTATCCTCGCTTTACCAACGCCCCAACCTAGATTCTACTCTCGAAATAGAGCGAGATTATACTTCAAACGTGAATTACCCGCAGGAAACCCGTCTGAATAAAGTCATGGCGCTAGCAAGCGAAACGCGACTCCATTGTGCTTGTTGTATTCTCGGATGGACAACTCGACGGAGTGTATTTTCGCGAAAGAGAAATGGAGGCAGAGCGAGCAGAAGCATCTCTTATTCTTAATACGTGGCTTTTCCCAGTCACACCGCAGAGCTCGCGCGATAAAAGCAAACGCGATAAATCAGAAACGTATGGAATATAGTGCGGTCGCATGCTTGAATGACTGCACCTTCGGCAACTGCTCGCGCTACAGAGTGAAAGTTCCGCGAACTACTCTCGCCTGCCATCATATCCTTTTCCACCCTCTCGTCGTACCCATCGCCCTCGCCGCCGTATCGAAGACTACATCGGCGGGTCAGATTATTCGCCGAAACTTCGGGATTCGTCGACCAAGGAACGCGAATAACTTGTCGCTCTTCTCCGTCGTGTGGTCGTCTTCCTCGATGGGATAGATACACGAAGCAGGGAACGCTGTGCGGATCTATGCGGAACTATGCGGCGGCAACTGCGTTGCCGCAGATGATGACGAGCGAATTTCATAGAGATTCGAGGCAAAGGGTCGGTACGGGGCTGAGCGACGGCGAAGACGCTGGAAACCAGCTTGCATCTTATGCCACCTTGGCGGTCCGTCTCCTTCTCACCACAGTAGAGTACAAAATTATAAAAAAGGAGATGCAAGCAAAAATGCATGAGAAAGAGAAGGAGATGTATGAAATGAAAATAATAAACTTGCAGTATGTGAAGGATGATCTAAAAAAGGAACTTGTAAGTTTTTCTGATCTTTAATTTAATAATTTTTTCCAGTGCCGTAATTTTTAATATGTTCCGTGTGAACAAGTATTTGGTTCTTCTCAGAATACTTCCATTAACACATAGCTAGAGTAACCCATGATTCAAAAATAATAAGCATAGTAGAAACAAAATGGTAATGATGTGAAAAAGATAAAAATAAGAAACAAGAAAATCATTCATCATAGATTGAAAACAAATTGATATTGCTAGGATTTAAAATCATTTGACTTTAACAATCATTTACATTTGACTTTAACAATACATTTATTTAATATCAATAAGAAAGAGAAGTGCCCAGAAAAAAAACATCGTTAATTATCACTTAAATCTCCTATTCACTTATTATCCTAAAATCTTATAATAAACAAATATTATCTTAAAATCAGTTACATTTTAACAAAAAAATTCAAATTTTTAAAACTCTCAAAATTTCTTGCGCAGTTTTCTTTCTTAATTTTGAGGTGTTTTGATGTAACTTTTTTCAGAAACTGACAGTGAATATATTAAAATCCAAGATGGATGCAAAAGTAAAGATTACTGTGAAAGAGTTTATGGAGAAGCAAACAAAGAAAGCAAAGAGTTGATGGAGAAACAAGCAAAGAAAGTGCATGAGAAAGAGAAGGAGATGTAAACAAAGGTGCATGAAAAGGAGAAGGAGATACAAGCAAACATGCATGAGAAGAAGAAGAAGATACAAGAAAGCTGCATGAAAAGGAGATAATAAACTTGCAGCATGTGAAGGATGATCTAAAAAAGGAATTTGTAAGTTTTTCTGACCTTTAATTTAATAATTTTTTTAATGTTGTAATTTTTAACATGTTCACATGTTAACGTGTGAACTTGGTTCTTCTCAGAATACTTCCATTAACACACAGCTAGAGTAACCCATGACTCAAAACTTCTCACTAACTGTTGCCGATTTTGGTACTGGAGCAACATAATTTTGCAGAAAACTGCAAGTGAGTTGTGCCATCAAAGAGCATGGGGAAGTTTCTTCAAATCACCACATGGAACGTGTTAAATATTAGTTTTAACATTTTGATGTATTTTTTTATATTCTATGTCACTGTTTTTTAGACAAATACAAATCTGAAGTATATCATGGAAAGGAGGCAATGACTCCTAGAAGCATTATGGATTATATTGAATGTCGGAAGATTAGTGACTGTTCTTCAGGAAGAAATAAAATATGGATAAAGTATCTAGAGAAGCCAGAAGTAGAAGTTTTCTGAAGATTTCTGTGATGAAAAAGACAGCAACCACTGCTGAGGAACTTTATAGAAATAAAAGCAAATTTGTTCACTCTATGTATAAATTTGACCAAAAAGTCACCATGGTTGATTTGTTGCTTAACATCAAATGGAAGCTAATGATATTAACATGGAAATTGATTCCACTTCTAAAAGATACACTTTTCAAGGTTAAATCTGATGGGATAGAAGAAATAGTAGCTTATAAGCCTCTATAAAAGATGAATTTTGGTATTTCAATGTTGAAAAAGTGCTAACTTAAGTTGATCTCGCTATTATGTAAACTTTTTGTTGGTCAAGTTATTGTTAAATGAAATTATTCTTGCAGAAATAATAAATGTGTTTGAAATATAAATATTTTCAGAATTCACAAGATTTTTGGTTTGGTTAGAGAGAGACATGGAGTTTTCCATTCCTCAAACATAGGTATGAATCACGTGATGTTTCAAACGGCCCTAGGATGGAAAACCTATACCGTATCCTCCGGAAAAGGGAATCCTTCCCAGCGTGGAGGCGCCGGGGCCAACTATTACGTGCCCATCATAGCGTACGCAACATCCTTTGCGAGACTCTCTCGCCCTTGCGGCTAAGTCCGTACAGGGCTTCGACCCTGTCTTTAATCATTTGTTCGTGCTTTGAAAAGGGCAATACGATCATCCAGCGCGGAGGCGCCGGGCATACCGCCGTACTTCACGGAACCTGAAGGGTTTCGTTGGATAGCGGAAGCAAGGCGAGGAAACCGCGCTCTTGAGTCGCGACGACACTTGACCGATCGGCAATACGAACCGGCTAAGTCTTGTCAGTCGACGCACGAAATCTGCGGTGCTTGAGATATCGCAGAAGGAAGCGTCCACCCCGTGGACGGTGGAGGCTGCAAAGTAACCCGGAAAGATTTCACAAACCCTCCTCTCAGCCACCGGCAGTGTCGAGGAGATGGAGATCTCCTGATAAAGGAGAAATTGATAAAATATGATACCAGCAGTTTTATTGAGACTACTGTAGCAAGTCGATAATTAATGATATTTTTTTTGGGCACTTTCTCTTTCTTATTGATATTAAATAAATGTGTAGTTAAAGTCAAATATAATATTTTAAATCCTAGCAATATCAATTTGTTTTCAATTTACTATGATTTTCTTGTTTTTTATTTTTATCTTTTTCATGTCATCACCATTCTGTTTCTACTATGCTTATTATTTCAGATACATATACAAAAGAACCAATGAAAATTGAACCGAACACTACGCTAACAAATACATATAGCTAATCGCGTTTATCCCAATGTGAGTTGTTAAGACAAACAGCAAGTAAATTCTGTTAGCTTTGTTTGAAATTTGTTTGGACTTTGTTTGCTATTTTTTAAGTTGGGGCATTTTTTTGTCGCAAATACTTACCCTACTTAAAGTGCACCAGAAATATCAACAAAGCATCAAGTAGTGAAGTAGTGTGTAATTCAGTTTTCTTTGTTAATTTTAAGGTGTTCGTATCTGTTTTCAGCTACTTTTGAAGCGAAAATGCTTGTCCCATTTGAAGTACGCCATAAATTTTGGGAGTTTTGAAAATTTAAGTTTTTTGATTAAAATGTAACTGATTTTGAGATAATATTGCTTTATTAAGAGAAAGAAAATAAGAACTCAATAACAATGATATCAATTAAATAATAGGAAAAAGGGCTAATTCGAGTTCAAGCACAGGATTAATAGTGTTATGTACCATATGGGTAAAACCTTCCTTGTTGTGTTAGGAAATAGAGCAATATTTATTGAACATGAATACTCAATATAAATAATCAAACGTTTCGGCTCAATCATGAACCCTCTTCAGTGATATAAAAAAACTCAAGGTTTACAAAACGAATGCATTACAAGTAAAAGAATTAATTAAAGACCTTAATAAAATGACATGAATGTTATTCACAGTATTATAGCTGACAAGACCGTTACCCGACTAATATTAAGAAGTTCAAATTAATACTAGGAAGTAGCCGTCATAACTATAAAAAAAAATAGAATAAAAATAGGTAAGATTAAAATATAATAAATAATTAAAACGGTCAATATAAATTATCTTTGTTGAGCTCGGCTAAAAGTGAAACGATCCTGTCAACGATAACATCGCCACGTCTAAGTAAAAGAGATAATAACAGATTTATATACACGAGCATTAACATTGCGGCGACGACTCTTGAAAGAGAAGGAAACAAACGAAGTTTTATTTTCATAATAAGCCGCAGTAGCTGTTGCCCAAATATTCTGTGTCCTTTTGAGAGTTAAGTCCATGCTTTTGAAATTTAATATAAATCATTTCTGATATCAGGCGTTTCAAGTAATAACGTTCCTCATGCAAAACTTTGGCTTGATCCCAATTGAAATCATGGTTTTTCTCAAACGGTGTTCTTGTATGGCCGTTAACTCAACTGTAGAACTCCTTGGTATTCTCCTATGTTTAGCAATGCGCGTAGAAAGTTTTCTACTAGTTTGACCAATATACGACGCCTCACAACTACTGCATTGCAATTTATACACAACGTTATTATGGAAATCAGGAGGCAACCTGTCTTTATGCACACGAATCATTCCTGATAATTTATTATTGCAAGAATAAGCAATATTTATCAAATTATTTTTAAAAAGCTTTGCCAGTCTATTCGAAACCACACCAAAAAACGGTATGGTAAAATATTTTTTATCATAACCAGATGTTGTCAAATTTGTTTTAACTATCTCTGAACCTCGTCTGCAATTCACAATAAGAAACCTCAGTCTACGTTTTTAATTTTAAAAATTAGGTCCAAAGGATAATTATTATTAATTAGCGTCAAAATGATAAAGTCTAAATTATTCTTATGGAAAGTCGGATGACTAAGATAAAACATCCTATCCACCAAGCCAATAATTGTTCCGATCTTGTGTTGAATAGGATGAAAAGACAAATAGTTTAGGTACCGACCACAAAACGTTGGTACCAGTCGAAAATAATTGTGTTATTACGTATTAAATAATAAATTAACGTTATAAATAAGTAATAAATTAACGTTATTGTATTAAAACTGTACTTGAACTCGAATTAGCCCCTTTTCCTATTATTTAATTGATAATATCGCTTTATTTTAAAATTTTCGCATAATAAGTAAATTAGGAGATTTTTAGGAATTTAAATTTTTGCTGCTTTTTTTCTTGATTTTGTTGTAATTTTTTTGGTATTTTTTGGTTGAAAATGCTTGCCCCACTTGAAGTGCGCTAAAAGTGTCATTTTATACTCTACTCACTACGTCCTCGTCCGCCGGAACGGCTCCACGTATCGCGCTCTATCGATCTTTAGGAGAACGAAGGGTGAGATCCTTGAGAGCAGAGAGAGTGGAATAAATACGAATCGCGCGATCGAAGTCTGAACAAAGAAATCTCGGATCGTGTTATTTTCTCGCACTATCTGAAACTTTTTCCAAGTTTTCTCGAATAATCGTCTATACTTGGCTGTTAAACGGTTTATATACATTTTTCCCGAATGAAGTTGCAACGCTTGTGGTTGCAAGTCAGAGCTAAGAGGCACTGCTGTGATAACTTATGTCAATAGTCGAAGTGACAGTGTATACGATATAAATATTGATCCTTTATTATACTCTTATCTGGTAGATAAGAATGTAAAGATATATTTTTTTTTAATCTTCCGTTGCATTTAAATGTCTTATATTGTTGTTTCAGTTCATGTCACAACCGATTATTGCGCAAACATGTCAATAACATCTCTCGATTGTGACAATCTAAAGCGCTGCAACAAAAATGGGAAAAATATGTATAAATCGTTTAATAATCGAGCGTATACATGATCGCACATGATTATCCGCGCGAACCGAGCGCGAGTTTTAATTTATTCGACATGCCAGTGAGCTCCATTTCAACTTTGTTAATTATTATCGTGATTATGATTTAAGGCCGCAATTCGACGGTAATTAAGCTGGGAGCTTTTTTGCCGGTCGATATGGCCAGGAACATGCGAGTATAAATTTTGCGCAATCCAGGAGAGAGATAGAAATAGAGAAGAAAGAGAGAGAGAGACACGTTATGTGCACAGTCGGGTGTATGACTGAAGTATCCGTAGCCTGCAGTGCGCGAGGTTCATCGAGCTTTTTCGTTCTCATCGAGGACAAGCGAGCCAGAAGAAACGTCCCATGTGTCGTCCGTTACGAGCGTCCCGGTTTTATGAAAATGCGCGGCTGGTGCCCGATCATAACTTTATCAATAAATATGTGCCTCGCATTTGGTCGCGCATCCGAGCTACGGTCAGATCGATCTCGCTGCGGCAGATCTATCCGCCTTATTCGAGAGATCTCGCTGAAACTTCGAATTCAGCGTATTTCCCTTCCGCACGTATTATGAGTCGCGTTACACGGAGGGGAGGGAAGATGCCCCAAGTATTTTAGATACTTCGCGAATCGGCGAACCGCAATCCGAAAACGACGTGGAATCACTCGTACGCCGGCGGAAACCGTTCCGCGTTTAACGGAGTTTCCCGTTTATAAATGTCGAATCTGTCTAGCGCGGAAACGAATGTACGAAAGCTCACGGGCAAGATGTTCAATCGTCTGAACGTTTAATCATTGCTTTACGTTTAAACGTCTGATCATTAAACGAAAAGCAAAAAACGCCAAAGAAGCAGCGACCGAAGGAGATCAAGTGCTTAAACCTACGATATACAATAATTCAATAGGGATTCATTTCGTTAAGGTGAATGTCCCAACCAGTGACTTCATTGTAAAAATGAATAAATTAATAATGTACGTGTTGAACTAAGTAGACACAGAAATACACACAGAATTGATTTTCTTGAAAAGCTTGAACATTATGTTATATTTTTCCAATTTGTGGAAAACTTTTGTTGGATAAAAATAATTGATAAAATATAAAATTTAAAATAAAATGATAAAATATAAAATTTAGAATAAGGATACATATTTATAGGATAACTATGGATCCATATCATCTGATTTGTTAAGAAAAACGAATGTAATCGTCGCACTCACTTGGACCTTCACCTTGAATCACTTTTTTCTTCCCTGCGAAATTCAGGCATCATGCGGAACGATATTCCTTCCACTCCGACGAAAACGTCCGATCTCCGAAGATCATTCCCGTCCGCTTCCGTCACCTTGATTCTCGGGGGGTGCGCCCGCGTAGACGATGAGAATAAAATTCCCGCGAAATACGTAATACATTATCGACACGCGGCCGCTGTACGGTAAATCATGAGGATATACGATTTTTTGCGCGCGCGTAAAAGCGCTATTCCCCTAACGTCAAAAGTTTCCCGCGGAAAACTGAATTTCTATCGTGTCGAGGGACCTTT